TTTCGTTGACGAGTATTTGTAAGCTCTATCATACTCACCGTGCGTCTTGTGCTATAAAAGCGATTGAGGAATTCTTGCTCTCGTTGATCCCAGCTGTCGATAGATCCAGCCTCGAGGTCCGGGTACCAGTCAAAAGCATTTCGTTTTAGCGAGCGGACAAACTGCTTGATGAGGTAATCTCCATAAGTCCCAGCATTGTTGCACGTCTCCACGAAGTGCGCAACATGTTGCTTTGGGTTACCTTTACCATCAAACTGTTGAAACTTCGGAGGTTGATAGCCAGCAGGCATCTTCAACATATCGACCCTTGCAGTGTACGACTTTGCATATGTAAGGGAGGATTTGGCAGCAACTTCATATTCGTTCTTAATGGTTCCTTCGATGAACTCCTTCAGTTGTTCGATTGGAATCATTCCTTCAGATGAGACAGGGATAGCCTTAGTGGATGCTGCTTGTCTTGGGGGAGAGTCACTCTCTAGAACTTCTGGGAGCTTGCCGGGTGCATGGGTAGATTTTTCTTCCATCAAGATTCCCACCCTGTCTGTTAGCTTGTCAATTTTAGCCTCTTGATTTTGCATGCATTTTGTCAAGCCAGCGATTGCTTCCGTCAGGTTTGCCAACTACTCCTCCATAGATGAAGAGTTTGTCACCATGGCTTGCATGATTGTCGTGGATGACGGAGAGTAGCATGGATTTTCACACAGATTGATCCTTGATTGGCTCACGCTATGTGGTGTAAGTGGGGAGGATCCATCGCTTGAAGCATCATCATCTTCCTTCACAGCAGAGTGCTTGGAGCCGGAGAGGTCAAGCAGAGTAAGAGTTTTCTTGATCTTTTGAGCAACATCGCTTCCTCCTTCAGATGCGTTTGTGGAAGATCTTGCTCCTTTTGAGGATGAAGATCCGAAAACAGGGGTTGATGCAGACGACACTTGGGGTGCTTGTTGTCGTTAAGAGCTTGTTTTGCTCCTCGTAACTGGTCTGAAGCTTCCAAAGGTGACATCAAGGATGCTTTCCACATCAGCATAGAACCTGGAGTTAGCAGCCTTGGTGGATGTTGATTTGGAGTTGATTTTCTTCGAAGCCATTTCAATGTTCTTGAACTTTGGTGATTGGAAGGTTGAGATGAGAGGTAGAGATTGTCCCACTGGGCGTGCCAGAATTTGTAGACAATAAATTTGGGTCGAGAAAATAAAATCAAGACCAAAAGTATCGCAATAATCGTAGTATTTGATTTCGAATATTTGAGTGTACAATCTCTATGAATCCTCTGATTCTTCCTTCCAATAGTAAATAAATTCAAGGGTCTTTGAGCTTGATCTTGAATCTATATTTGTTTCCACGAACGATGATCTTGTTCTTGAGTTTGAGCTTGACTGCTTGAACTTGATCTTGATTCGTTCTTGAGCTTGAACTTGAACTTGATTGCTTGAAGCTTGAAACTTGTAGAGAAATTTGCGNTTGGGTATGCCTTGTCATTTTGACACGTGGCATGATCCTATTGGCTCTTCCGCTTGACTTGGTCCGCCACGTCATTTGACACGTGGCACCAAACTGGGCCTCTAGAAAGATGACATCTTGGGCTTAATGAAGTGCTCATCACTTTAACCCAATTTAAATGGGCTAGCCCAATGGATTAAGACTTATTTATTTAATCCATATTTATTGGACTTATATAATTAGGTCAATTATATTAGCCCATAATATTTATTTGGACCAATATATCTTGAATTTAAAATATAATCCAAATTATTTATTGAATTTAAATTCAATAAATTTTGTTTGCCTACAGTAGTATCATCCATTCCATCTTCAACTTCTGCATGATTTGAACATGGTATTGCAACACCAAGCCAGATAATCACGTTTTTTGTGTTTCAACCTCCCTGTTTTCAGTAATGGATTTGAACATCTTTTTAAGATGGTGAGATTTTAAGTTGCACATTGTAGGTCATTCTTGCCTATGTTCTTGGTGCCCTCATTTGGCGTCATTGCTTATTTGATATAAATTCTCTCAAAAATGATTTTCTCGTGATATAAAAATAACGAACTAGGAAACAAAAGCTGTTGCCCTACATGATTTCCTCTAGCACGCCTCCCATATACTTGGTAAGAGGGATAAACTGCATCGCGTGCATGGGCTCTGCTGTTTACAGATGAACAGATATCGTTTCTCATCCAGGGGTCTGCTGTCTACAGATGAACAGATATTGTGTCAACTTCTTTTTCAAATTGAATTGTAATGTAAAGAATCTTACATGACTCAAAATTCTGCAGGTCAGGCGCAACCTTGACCAATCAAAGACCATTCTTGAGGCTCTCATTAAGGTTTGTCTTTCTTAGCTTATTGCAACGTTAGACTTACAAAAGAACAATTGCAATGTGAAGATATGGAGAGCATGTTCTTTTGTCATTGTAAGCTGGTTACCACAAAATGAAGAAATTACAGTCCTATAGAAAGTCAATCTATCTGATCGCCCAATCAGCGTTTTCAACTCCTTTCATGTGATTATATGCAGAGAGAGGAGAAGAAACGAGAGGTTGTGGAGAGTGAGGTTAGTCTTCAGAGACTTCAAATGAAACACAAGGTATGTGGAGTATGGTATTATCTTCTTAAACCTTTGCAACTTTTACGCTAGTGATACCTACTTGCAGATGTGATATTGCTATTTGACAATCCATAATTTAATTACTTTTGTCGCGTCACAACAGTAGACAACATTTTATGAAGTGTGCCTGCTCTCTGTTTAATAATCATTGATTTCTGAGTTATATGAAATTGAGAGTTTATTAGATTATATGTGCTGCTATGGATTAACCCAGTACTGGAGAAGAACATTTCAGTAATCCATTAAAAGTTTGTACTACCAATAGGCTGGAAATAAACCATTTTGGATAGGTTAAAGTGGAGTAACTCTTTATGGAAGTAGTATCGTTAATGATGGGGTAGATCGTTCTTAGCTAACTGCCCTTTTGTCAACTGCCATATTACCATGGCCTCTTCAATTCAATGTCTTTTAGCACCATAACTGCTTCTCCGCTCTTCATGGTATAAGTTCTCTGAAGTCATTTATGTGGAATGTGGTTTGATTCTGAATTGATAGTAAGACTTTTCGGTTTTCAGAATGAAATTGAACTTTTTGAGGACACGTTGACTCTGCCTGGATTTCCTTCCTTCCCAAGTAAGGAGGTTGGTTCAAGTGAGGAGGAATACATTGACTCGGATGACGCCGCTATTAGCCGCCCACATGCTCAGACTGCTGTCTCACCCCATCTTCTCTTCTCTGACTCAAAGCCGGTAATGGCTTCTGCTGGAAGCATGAGGCGCGGGCAAGGGTTAAAAAGGCGATATGTCCCATATGGAGGGCTCCACAAATTGGTGCGTCCCTACTCTTTAGTAAATTTATTCCTTTTTTACTCTCTCCTCTATAGTCATCCATATGTTTGTATATGATTTACACGTATTCCTTTTCACATAAGCACAACACAACATAGAAGATAATGCAGTTGTAGTACTAAACTAATTATCAGACTTCGCTCTTATGGGTTTGATGTAGGATCCAAATGAGCCACTTCTCCTGTTCACTAGACCTCTTGATCCAGAGAAAATGGTAGCTGCAGGTATTTTACCTCCAGATTCGTCAATGGGAAATGGTCTGGCTGCACGCACATTTAACTCTCGTGGAAGGATTGGCCGAGGTGGCAGAATAGTGTTTGATAGATGGAGCCCACTTATGCATACTCCAATTGATTGTGGTGATGCTTTATATGTACCACCAAAGGGCCGGCATTCTGCTCATCCCTGATGTAATCAACCCTTCCCAGGCTTCATTTGTCCGTCCAGGCTAAGTTTGTATGCCTGCGGTAACCGTAAGGGGGACGCTCAAGACATGAGGGAGATGACTCCGTGGGTGATTGTCCAAGGGTTGAGCCTGCTGCAGGATATATTCTTGTCATTGTTTCTTTTCTTAGTTAAAGAATGGAAAGCATCCGCCCCGCTTGTAGATTTTTGTCCAAGAGGATAGGTAAACAGAAAGCTTTTTTCTCTACTCCTGCAGTCTCCTACTTAGATAATGCATGCTTCTACTGTAAATAAAAATGAAATGATGAATGTAACCGGGGTTGGTCTTACATTGTAAAAAGAATCATTGCCTTTATCTTCTCATTTTTTGTTTCACTTTATGATTCGACCTTGTATAGTTAGGCGTGGCCAGTGTTGAAAATTGAAATCTGTCTTCATGGTGCAGCTGAGACAAATCAAATTATCTTGTGATTATTTGTCTGTAATTTTTTGACACAATTTAACAAAAGTGGTAAAACAGTCTAGTAAGTCACGATATTCTCTTACATTAGAAAATGTTTCCTATTAGACGTACCCTCACACAAGTGAGACAGTAACTATCTTTTGCTTACCATATATATAAAAAAAAAAGGAAACTAAGATGGATTGTCATCTATGATGACTTTTATAAATTTTCATCCTGTTATGTTAGTACGAGTAAATGATATCAATCTTTTTGGTAAATTATATGCATATAACCATTTTTTTAAACCATCCTGTGATGACCCGAAAGGTCATCTCTTTTTTTAGAAGTCAATTGTGTTCCGAGGCCTTAAAACCCTCTTTTTGTCTCACCTCGATTTGCCTGCGCAGTTCGGGTGCGTTTCCGGAAAGCTTCTATGTGAAATTTAAGAAAAATAATAAATTTGGCATTTAAAATTGATTAAAGGTGACTTTGGTCAATATTCTTGGTAAACGGACTCGGACCCGTGATTTGACGGTCCCATAAGGTCCGTAATAAAATATGGGACTTGGGCGTATGCTCGGAATCGAATTTCGAGGTCCCTAGCCCGAGAAAAGAATTTTTAAAGAAAATTGTTTGCTGGAAAATATAAAGGCTTTTAGAAGTGAAATGATGCGTCTTCTTGATGGTATCGTGCCCGTATCTTGGTTCCGGAGCCCGGTACAGGTTTAAAATAATAATTAAGTCGAATATGTGAAATTTGGTAAGATCGGAGTTAATTTGGTATAAATCGGGCCTTTAGTTGAGAAAATAGAAATTTCACTGTTCTTAAGGAGTTTCATGAATTTGAGGTTAAATTTGTAGTTGTTGATGTTATTTTGATGATTTGATCGCACGAGCAAGTCCGTATGATGTTTTTAGACTTACGTGCATGTTTGGTTTGGAGCTCCGAGGGCTCGGGTGAGTTTTGCATAGGCCACGGGGTGAATTGGACTTAGGAAATTTCAGATTTTTTTCATCTGGTATTTGTTGCAGACTCTGATCTCGCAATTGCGAGGTCAGGCTTCGCAATTGCGAGCCTATCAGGTTTGGTAATTGTGATAGGGCTGATCGCAACTACGATGAAGGCCCTGGCTAGCTTTGCTCGCATTTCTTCGCAAATGCGAAGTCCTCAGTAATTCGCAGCAGTCGCAATTGCGAAGATAGCAGAAATCCCCAGGGTTCGCAATTGGTCGCAATTACGACATCTGCGACCTGATAAGTGGGATTTTGATGGGATTCTTCTTCATTTTACAACTTTTTCAAACCCTAAACTCCCATAGGCAATTTTCTTGGAGAGAGTTCTTCTCCAAATCATAGGTAAACGATTTCTAACTTATTTTCCTCAATATAACATCTTTTTTACATGATTTCACTCCAATATCTAGGGTTTTTCATGGGGAATTGGGTGTTTTTGGGTAGAAGTTAGGATTTTCAAATTTTGGGGATTTGGACATCAATTTGTGGTCGGATTTCAAAACTAATTGCATATTTGAGTTCGTGAGTGAATGGATGATCGAGTTTTGGTTTGAACTTCGGGTTTTGACCAATTGGGCCCGGGGTCGGTTTTTGACATTTTGGGAAAAACAATGGGAAACCTATTTTCATGCATTAGAATTGGATTATTTAGCTTTTATTAATGTTATTAAGTAAATTGTGACTAGATACAAGCGAATTGGAAGTGGAACCGAGGGATAAAGCAGTAGTTGAGGCTTAATCTTGTCCTTGAAATCGAGGAAAGTGTTTGGCCTAACCTGAGCTTGAGGGAATAGGAGTTGTGGTCTATTTGCTATGTGTTAGTATCGAGTACGACGTATAGGTGTGCTGACGAGTATCTATACGTTGGTGTCGAGCATGCCCGTGGGTCTTATATCATGATTGTTGTGACCCTATTATGTATCGGTCATGCTCAAATTGATGATTATTAATGTTGAACAAAGATTATGAAAGTTTCTTGGTAATTGACTATTGTTGAGTATTGGTTCAAGTTAAGTTTTATTTTGTAAAGTAATTGTTGAAAATGAGGTTGGTTATAGCTGATTCCCTTACCGGGATGTTATTGTTAATATTGTTGATTCCCTTGCCGAGATGTTATTGTTGATATTGTTGATTCCCTTGCGGGGACATATTGTTTCTATTGTTTTGGTGAGGAAGAGTGTAAAGCACGAAGGGTGATGTCGTGCATGATATTGTGAGTGAGTGTAAAGCACGAAGGGTGATGCTGTGCCGATTTTATGAGAGTTAATGCTATAAGGGTGATGTCGTGCCATGATCTGAGAGTTAATGCACGAAGGGTGATACCGTGCCGATATTGTGAGGAATAATGCATGAAAGGTGATGTCGTGCCATGATTATCTGAGGTAATGCACGGAGGGTGATGTCGTGCCGTTCTTGTTGTTTCATATGGTGAGGACGAGAGTAAAAGCATGAAGGGTGATGTCATGCACGTGTTATCGTTTCTTTCTTCTTGTTAATATAGATATGATGTTCATTATGCTTCTTTATTGGTTTATTGTTAGAATCGGATATCCCCCGCAGCATGTCCCCTTCCCATCGTATTATGTTGATTCCTGTTATTATGATTTTGTTTGTATATGACTTAACCTGTGCAGTTTGAGACGGTGACTCCGGGACATCAATGATGTCGGCAGCTTCTCTAGGAATCGGAGTAGTTTCTCGAGGGACAGTGGCCACAGGTTCTTCCTCGGGCTCCCGAGCTGAGGAGGGTTCAACCTTACGGTCATCCCCCTCCAGTGCTGCCAGTTCTTATGCAACATCGGATGACTCGTAGGCGACAAACTCCATGTCATCATCCTCGGGGTAGTCCCTAAACCGGTAGAGAGAATTAGGGCCCGGGACCCTTGCATGAGTACTTTTCTTAGTACTCTTTCTTACCCTGACCACAATCTTCTTCTTTTTGGCCTTAGCGGGAGCACCCGAGGAGTCAGGGGACCATTTCTTCTTTCTTGTTTTCTCCTCCTTCTTTGCAGCAGACTTGGCAGTAGGTTGTACCGAAGCAGAGGGTTTTTCATATGGGGCAAGGCCACAGCCTCAATAATTGCTCTTAATTTATTTTTTAAAGGCGTAGACATCGTCGTGATGGAAGACTACTCTGGTTTTGGCCACCTGGAGATCCCAAAAAGGGATGTGCCGCCGAGGTCAGGCGGGCCGAGTTCGAGTCTAAAGCTTGTGAAGTAGTTCCCTGCCCCGAGTATGGACCCTGACCGGAAGAAGACAGTCATATTTACAGTACCGACAGATACCGAGATGATATCTGGGCCGGTTGGTATGGCCAGCTACCTTCGTTCTTTGGTAACTGAAGGGGACCAAGTGAAGATGAACGAGGTGGATGTGTCGAGCCTCTTCAACGAGGCACAACAACACTCAATAGGGTATACTTTCTTTCCCTTATATCTATAAAGAGTTCATTTTGCCTTAGTGAATTTTAACATTTTTGCCTTTTTTATGCTTCAAGCCTTGATGCTTCATCATGAGAGCTTCCACCGGTCTTAAATGGAGGTGAGTCACCTTGAATTCGAGCTCAAGGAGCAGGTCCGGCAAAAGGACATGTACAAAGCTCTTTGTGAGCAAAAAGATGAAGTCCTTAGGGACCACTCTGTACTCCAAGCCAAGTTGGAAAAAGCTTAAAAGGAGGCCTCGAAGGTGAAACAGGATCACGCCCTACTGGTTGTGCTGCAAGATCAAGAAGTCCAAGGATCCATCCAAGATTAGGATTTCTTTTCTTTGAAGATTAGGATTTCTTATTTTTTTTATTTCCTAGTAATTTAATTCTTTTTTTGGTAGGATTATATTCGTAGTTCTAGTCAAACTAGGATTGTTACTTGGTATCCCATCCTTACTAGAATTCTCTTTTCTATTTTAGTTAAGATAGGTTTTTCTTACCCTTATTCTTAATCTAGTTTAATTAGGATTAGTTTTCTTTACCTCGTGAATTTTACTCATTATAAGGCCTATTTAAAGGGCTCAATATGCTAAAAATAATGATGGTTGATTAGTTTTTCTCAGCTCTTGCTTCAAAAACATGATTTACTTTTTATTTCATTGTTCTTCCTTTATTCAACGCTTCTTGCAATCTTGCGAGATTCAAGAACGTGTGGGTGAGGTTTATTTTTATCTTACATTCTTCTAACGTGAGTTTGAAGAATGCTTTCACTAGTTTTGTGAAAAATTTAGTGGTGTGCTTTTGTTTTTTCTCTCTTCTTTGTGCTTGAGAGGTGCAAAACCTTGAAATTACATCAATTTGGTATCAGAGCGCAAGTTCTACGTCTGAATTCTTAACTTGCTGTCTTATTCTCTGTGTTACCAAACAAGAAAATAGCAAGTTCGTGATCCTCTTCAATGGATCTTCAATTAAAAATTAAGAACTATAGTCCTTGAATGAGACAATGAAGAAATTAAATTGTAGCTAAATAGCTTGAAGAAATTAATAAGGCATCTGGCTGAATTGATTGAAGGTTTGGTGCTTCAATCACCACATACCATACCAGTGATACCACCACGTCTACCACTTTACTATCCACCAATTCAACCGCATAGAGCATGCTATATTGAGCAAGTTGAAGAGGTTGAAGCTGACCAAGACATAAGAATACCAACGCCCCATGCCCAATATGATAAATATTCAGATAATAAAGGGAATGAAGAGGATAAAACTGATGAAAACCAATATCAAATAAGCGAGGACCAAGCATTGGGGCCACAAATTGAGGAGTTACCACCTAAGTTTTATAATGATCCATTAACTATGTGTGTCATTAACTTTCCGGATTTCAGAGCATAGTTTTTTAATGATCTATTAACTATGTGTGTCATTGACTTTCAGGCTTTCAGAGATGCGCCCCATGCCCAATATGATAAATATTCAGATAATAAAGGGAA